GTACATAAGCGTAAACAGTACACACTAACATGCTTTCATCCTATCATCACACAATTAACCTTGTTGCACCTGTTTACAAGCATACAACATACAACATAACCAACCAACAAATAACTAGATTACTTATTTAGCTTGATTACGCATCGAACGAGTTTCCACCTAACCTGCCCCAATAAAGGGGTACTAACACGGGAGCTAACCGTGCCAGTATAAAAGAACTACTCGTACGTGGCAGATTTCCTGCGCATAATAAAAAGGAAAATACAGCGTCCTGTTCTCCCAGTAGAAGTTATGGTAAAATATAAAGTCGCATAACTCCCCCCATATGTTCATACTCAAGGTATATACGTTCCAAGAGTTTTGGTGCGTAATCTCTTTCACTTTACGTTGTTTACATATTTTAGACTTGGTGATGACTGTCAAACCATAACACAATCAATCATTCAAGCAATCAAACATACCAATTTAATTCTTGAATAGTTAGTGACCAGATAAATTTTAATGTTAAATCCTTTTTAAGCTACTTCGGTGTTAAATAACACCTTAAGTGCATAAAGCACCACAAATCCTATCCCTCGGTATTTAAGACACCTTAAGTGCACTTAGGTACCAAAATATAATTTAATCCTCGTGTATATAGACACTTAAATAGCTCATTTCCCATGCTTATAGCATCAATAAAAATTATATGAACCATAATAAAATTCTCTTTCAATATTTCAAATCAAATTAAACATTTAGTTTATTTAAACATTCTCTTAATCATGCCAATAATAAAAGTGTGGTTCATAATCAACATGCCAATATAATTAATTCCAATCATCAATTCACCATAAATAATTCATACTTTAAATCAATCACCAACATCCATCCAAACAACAATTCTATTCAACACCCTTGGAATTAATTAATCAAAGCCTAGCATGCTCCTATACACTTAAATAATTACCAAGTACGCGAATGTACCTCGAATATGATCTCAAAATCGCCACGACTAAATGAAATCGATCACTTGGAAGTCTCCTACAACCCAAAATTATAAAGAGACATTAATACCTATTCAATATAAATTTTCAGCAATATATACACTCTTTCAATCACTTATAAACCCTTTAAAACAAGCTGAAAATTAATTTAAAACCCCTACTTTTATTCCCAATTAATGGGTAATTAAAAATCCTTTCAAGAAAACATAATTCTAACCTTTATATAAAAAATTCCAGCTTTATAAAAACATGTAAAATTGTTGTAATTATATTTAAAAACACCTATTCCAATAATTTAAATCACCCACAATCAATTTCATCAATATACATTAATTTAGAAACCTAGGATTTTCAATTTGGGGCTTTTTAATTCATAAACCAAATCTGAAAATTATATACATAATACTTATAATCAAACATCATAAAAATTATCACACAACCCAAAAACAATAATTAAATCAAAGCTAGAATAACTTTAAAAAAAAACAAAGAAGATTTTTTTTATATATATAAAACACACGAACACACAAGGGGGAAAGGGAGGGTGGATGGCGCCACCTCCCACGGCTACTGCTGCTGCCAGCCCTATGTTGGCGGCGGCGGCCGGCTGTGGTGGTGGTGGTGGTAGCCGGCCACCGTGTTGTGTGTGGTGGTAAAAAATAAAAAAAAAAAAGGGAGGGGGAAACTAAAGGAGAGAGAAAATAAGAGGAGAGA